CCATCTCACCACGTACTTAGGGATATTCACACTACCGCAAAGTCCGGTCAAGGTACAGCACTCGAATGCTCGAGGATCGAGATCGACACAACGGCAATGGCAGCGCGCTTACCCAAAAAAAAAAAAAAAGACAAAGAGAGTCGCCTCATAAATGTGGCCCTGGACGGTCCTTTCGTTACCTTGGCCCAATATGAAGAACTCACTGGCTTGTAAGACTTTTGTGAGGAAGTAGTGCCCTTGGGTAGTACTTCCCTTCGCCGTTTATACAACTTGCAAATTCGGTGGCACCGGCCTATGGCTACTAGGCCGTTGGACGCTGCCGCTCGCCAGGACGTGTCTTGGTGGCTTGCTTCTATTGCCAGAAACGGAGGGCATTCAGCTCTTGAAAAAAGGCGCCAGATTCTCTTTCCATCTCTTTATGGACGCGTGAAATTCCGGCCCAGGGGGGAATTCGTACGCAGGAAACCTGAGCGTGGCGACTGGCGTGACGCCTTGCCCTTGCCACAAAGAACCTGGTTCGCACACCAATCCTCACCAACAAATCAACATCAGCGAGACAGAGGCCATTGGATCCACCTTGCGGCTGTGGTCGCCTTTGTGAGAACACGGCACGGTCACAATCCACACTGAAAACAATACGGCCCTAGCGGCCTTCACTGATCAGACTGTTTGTGGCGAGGCCATGGATGCATTACGCGAATCGCTCTTGTAGGCCGTTGCGAACGATTCACGCCTACACGCCGTGAGGATCACCACGGAGGAGAACACCCTGGCAGACTCCCTTCCACGCGCTCCTACTGTCGTAATTACTATTCTAAAGGTACGGTCTGTCGGGACCAGTTGCATAAACAGGGACACGCACCGACAGATAAATACCCCCATTGCTGCACCCACCGTAACTGGAAAGGCTCCGACAACGCCTCAGTGCCATGCCGATGACAGCGAGGGCCAGCACGCTGCCTCTCCGGCAAGCCAGCAGCCTCCTCCAGCCCTTACAGCAGCAGCGTGGCCATCTTTACCAACTCTCTTCGCGACAAGAACTTGAGGCCGCTGAGGACTGTCATCAAACTTTGCGGCGCAGCGGCTGCGACGCCGGCGGCAGGGCACGCTGGCAAATAGTTTGTGCCCGAGCGGGTGTTTGTCGGCGTAGCGGTTCTTGGCCTTGACGGAGGGACACAGTAGCTTTCGTGCCGGTATAACTTGAGCGCTCAAAGCGTATAGATGGCGTCTTGGAAGTTAAGCCATAAAGCGGCAGCTTCTCGGCCATCGTTGGCAGCCGAGGGTAGACTTTCCGGCGCGGTGGCTATCAATTCTGTTGGGGGATCAGTACGATCTCTTCAAGTATCGCTCCACTGGTTGGTCCTCAAATTGCACGATGCCTGTAATAGACTTGGGACACAATTGTGTTGCATGCAGAAGAACTATAACGGGGCATCGTCCTGTGTGTAGACTTGATTGCTCCAACTCCCTTGCATGTGCCGTGCTGTCGAACCGGTGCCGGTGGCAACTGGACAATTTGACTTGATTGGACTGTGATAATTCCCGGACCCGTTTATTCCTGAAGTCCTGAAGTCTATTCGGAGGATGGACGTTGCGGCCCAAAGTCTTGATCACCTCTTACCCTTTCCAAATTTGCCAAATGCCTGGTAGCTAAATAATCGCCTGTGGGGGACCTGCAGGATAATCGCCTTGAGAGCAGTCGCCTTTGGAGTAAACGCTTATAGGTTAATTATTTTTGAAACACGCGCCCTTCGGGACCGTGTGCCCTGCCCACTGGAGCTGGTGTGGTGAAGATTTTCGGCCGTGACGTCCGTGCCTAGATGAGTACTCACCTAGCCCATCGAGTAACGACGGTACGGCCCGATCCGAGGCCCGTACCTAGCTGTCGGAATCAGTCTTACAGGGGTAGCCCTTGAGACTCGCTCGCTCACTTCTTGCATCTGTTTGCATTTTTCACTACTAACTCAACACAATACTTTGATATCCCCTTATTCCCTCCCCCCCAAGCTCGAATGAAAATCGATTCGCGACTGTCCTGGCCAGCCGAGAACGGGACAAGAACATGCAGCGCGTGGCACCGCCGCCGAACCCACCAAGTCGATCCGAGAGGAAACGAAATATTCTCTAAAAAGAAATAGTTTACACCCATTCTCAATCGACCAATTTCCAGCCTCCAGGAACACCCTTCTGGAACATACCATCAGGATCATATATCTTACTGGCTGCCTGGAGCCTGGCCTTGTTCTCCTTGCCATACGATCCAATGGGATCTTGGAAAGGCGCGGCGTATTTCATGTACTTCTATGGGACGGCTATCCCCCTCACCGCTGCTTTTTTGTCAACAGCGTCGATAACACCCTTGAATTCCGACTGAATCTTGTCGTCGTCTTCTTTGTTCTGCCAGAAGGACAAGATCAAGATCGACATGAGTGGTCCGCCTTGGGGGTCGATTCTCAGCGTGCTGCCCTGCCCCGCGAACAGCGAACCTGATGTCACCGCGGAGTGTGTATGGTCTGATGAAGTGCACGAAGCTGACAACGTCATCTCTATCTCTGGGCAGAAAGATGACTCCTGGCTCAATTTCGCCTTGTGCCTTGGAAAGATTTCATTTGTTGGGAGTAGCGAACTCGTCGGTACTGGGAAGTACCTAGGTACCACCCGGGAGCCTGGAAAGGCTTCCTTTAAAGCTTCGACAACGTCGTTGGCAACCATGATTGCCGTGGATGTGATGTGACTGCGACTCAGAAGACAATTTGCTGAAGACCACAGGAGTATACGCTGCCAGGCTTTATGTTGGTGCTCTACCTCTACAGCGTTGGTGTGATGCAGAGAGTAGTCATTGAGAGACTTAAAGACAACAAACGGGAAGTCGACAGATTCCATTGAATAAATCACATGTGCTAGTTGCGGCACATACATGTTGGGCCACGCCTCACAGTAGACCTTCATTTCCATCACACTGTACAAGACAGAGTTGAGCCTGGAGAGATGCAAATTGCCCTGTCCGCGGGTGAGATGTTCAGCTCTGGTCGTCTAGGGCCAGAGCACTGATGTTTTGGACATACATGTATTTAGGGCTCCTCCAAATACAATACAAAATACAATACAATACGGTGTTTTAGGGCCTTCGAAATGCAATGCATTGTGTATTTAGATACGCAATACATAGCAAGTCATTACAAAGATGTTTTCAGATTTGATACTATATGATAAATAGGCTCGCAAAGAGCCAAATACTGGATGACCTCAGGTCGCTGGGTGATAAGGCTTCGTTGCAACATCGTGTTACGACGTCCCCCCAGGAAGTTGGGATTTTGGGGGCCAGAGTAAGACATCGATGATGACATATGGGCTCGGACGTTCACAATTGGGTCGTTGGTGTTGTGGTTCGGTTGGTGGACGCTGCAGCCATCTATTCGTGCGGGTCCGGAGAGCCAGCTTTTTTATTCTAGGCAGGTCACATAGAGGGGTTGGCGGCAGTCTGTGACAGATTTGACTGGTGAGGAGGAAAAGACAATTACCTATCAGCTTGTTGCAGATGAGGAATTAGTTTTGTTGCACAGAAGCCTCATCACCTGATATATGAAAGTGAAGGAGTGAGGCTAATTCAAGTAGAACCACGAGTACGAAGGAGATACTGTACTTTCTCCAACAAGTACTTTGTAGAACCTACAGGCACACAGCCGCGCGGAACCCTACTGTTCCACGTTGGATAAAGCAGAATGATTTCAACACATATCAAGGTCTGCTCGATGTACTGCAGAGCGGAGACGATGACTTCCTCGTTCTTTGCTGCAGAGAACATCAGGAACCGTCTGATAATTATGAAGGTTCACATACCGAGATCTTTGCCAAAGAATGACACAGCGATTAACAGCCCAACAACGAGCTTCACGATCGTGGGATGAACGGGGCTTTCCTTGACGCCTGACAAGGCAGTTTACTCTGGCTCTTTATAGAAGCTAGAATTACAGAGAACAAGAGTGTTCAAAGGGCCTTGGCCTCGAGTAACTTCGAATCATCAATCTTCTATCTACCCGGGCGCATTATACGCCACCATTTCGTTAGCCGTTTGTTATAACGCAGTCCCTATAGAGCTAGTAGTTTAGATATTCGAAAAGAGTAGAAGAAGCGAGGCGCAAAAAGAACCAGGATTGTCTATAGATAACCATTTGCAGGAATTCGTCAAGGAAAGAGGAAAAGAAAGACGAGGATTCGATGAACAAAAAATTAATGAATAAAATAAGAATTCCCTCGAGCCGGATTTGAACCGGCGACCTGTGGATGGCGTGAAATACTATTACAGTCCATCGCTCTGCCAACTGAGCTATCAAGGGTTGTTATCGGCGAATTATTTTAAAATTAAGTACAGCAAACTCCTCCACGACTGTGCCAGGCTCCCTGAACACACTACCGAGCTCAGATTAAGTAAACTCTTAATCTCTGGCAGTTAAGTAAAAATGGTTTTAAATATGAAACTTTGCGTGAAACGGCTGAGCGAAAGAATAGTAACTTGTATTCTTTTGAATTCAAATTCATTCTTCTACTTATAGACAGAATTTCCGCGCCAGGCCACACTGGTGTCCCCCCTCCCCTGCAGAATAAGGCTTGTTTAGTAGTACTTAGAGCTGGGATCCCTACAGCTTTGGACTTACAGCAAGTATTGCTTTTGAATCTTGAATAGCTGTATAACATCACCTCCAATAGCGCTATTCTCTCTAGCACTGCGTTCTAAGCCTTTGGTGTATCGCAAGCATTGCTTTTCAATTTTATTACATTTAATGTATTTATATAAATCTACAAGTGTATTGCGCATGCTTAAATTAAATTTCATATTTAAGCATAAATGTTCTTCTATTTTGATGTTAGGAATGAGGAACTCACAGCTCCTTCGCAGGGTTTGCATTATAATACTTGCTTGAAAAAAATTTTGCAAATCTACTGTAGAAGCGACAGTAATTTGCAGACTATATATACGGCTTGTAAATTCCAAACCACAACCCTTGATAGCTCAGTTGGCAGAGCGATGGACTGTAATAGTATTTCACGCCATCCACAGGTCGCCGGTTCAAATCCGGCTCGAGGGAGATCTTTTTGTCCGCTGCCGAAATTGTCTTCTCCGCTGCCCGGTTACAATTTTTTTTAACGAACGAATTGCAGTCTTTTTTGCTATTCAACCTGTCAAGCACATGGGGGATACATCTACAACATTGAATCCACTTAAATAATTCCGTCATCCCAGAACTTGGATCGAGAATGAGAAATCGTTATAACAAACCGAGCTATGGCGCAGCAGAGGAGAAGTTATCCTGAGCCTTAGGGCCATACGCCCGTCTCAACCACGCCCGAAGCGCCCGACCACTCCCGCCACGTCGCCATCACATCGGAAGGGACCTCCCACTCTGATCCTCTCCCGACCCATGCCTTGCACCGCCGCACCGTCACATCCTCCACCCAAGGCCGCTTCCGTCTCTTCCCCGGGGGACTGACAAACGGCTGTCCAGCTTCACAGCACTGTATGATCATGCCCACGAATTCGTCCAGCCCGCAGCCGAACTCCAGCCGGGCCCATTGGAGGCTTGGCATCTTCTTGAGCACCGCCTCTGTGAGATGCTGGATCAGCGGGTTGAACGTGTCCGGGTCGGGACGAGTGCGCCATTCATGGTGCGGACGCTCGCCGTTCACGAAGCGGTCTCGTGTCGAATTGTCCTCGGCACCGGAATCATCGCTACTGTCGACGTCACTTTGGGCATCGTCATCTTCCTCGTCATCCGCAATATGGTCGCCGTTGGAAGCCTCGACCGAGTTTGGATCGCCTGTATAGTACCATTTGCCACTCGGCGCGAGGATACCAGATTTGATGTCGAGGCGCCTGAGATTCAGGAAAGTGGGGAACTCCTGATCAGCATCGGGCAGGCTTGTGCCCGATGGTGAATGTCGGAACAGGTCTGAGGAGATCATGATATTTTCGAGCTGCAGCTCCTTCAAATGACAGTTTGCCGCCAGATGCCTTATGGCGTCGCACAAGGGGTCAACCCCACCCTCCTGAAGATCGCTGCACACGAAGCTGTGATTCGATGGGTCTACGCCATCTTGCCGTCTTATACACAACGTTTCTAGCTTAGGAAGCTTATTACCCAGCGCTCGCAAGCTATTACCCAGTGCTGCGCGATGGTCTTTGCGCATGGCATGCCTCTTGACGGCTGGGTCCCAGTAAGTAAGATCCAAGCTTTGCAAAGACGGTACTAGGCTGGCGATTTGGCAAATGGTGGCAGGATAGAGTGCACGGCCTAATGTCGCACCAACGCCGAGACTGGTGATACAACGGACCTTAGGTACATTGAATTCTGGCAGGAGAGTATGGTAGCGACGCGCTGCGCTGGAGTTGCACACATCAAAATCATGATCTACCGGTCCGTCCGCGTTCTGGGTGTCGACATCGTGGCTAAGCCAAAAATGGAGCTGCACGTTTGGATGTCTCCAGGCGATGCTTTGATCTTGACCATTGTGGTCCCCATCATGGTCCTTGTTCCAGGGCTCAAGAAAGTGGAATAGAGACTGGACTGCAGAGCCGAAGGCGCGTTCATTGGTAGCGTGATCTTCCCGCGAATCGCCGTGAGTGGGCAGGCCGATGTTGTAATTAATCTGGCGTAGAAGGCACCGGCGGTGAGTACCAGCACCCGAGAAGATGCGGGCGAAAGAGTCTAGCTCCTTGCTTTTGATGGTGATGCTGGCGAAAGAAAAGGCCTCGACAACATGCTGCCAACTCCGTGCAACGGTGGCGTACGCTGAGGGGCGTTCTTGCGTGGGTTGGGCTAGCAGGTGAGCGAGGATGATGGAGAACACTTCAGTGCTAAGCTTCTCCATGCTAACGATGTACACGGCTTGAATTTCTCAACTCCACTGCTTGTGCAGAGGAGACGAAGAGGAGGAGTTGCTCTTTCCTGATGTCGGGTCAACATGCAATTTAATAGTACCTCCTAGTGTGAAGCGCAACCATGGGTGTCCCTGCTAAGTTTCAATCCCTGTATCCCTGCAGCCCCACAGTCCCTGCATGGCTTTATACTTGTAGACGCTTCACAGTGCAAGATTCCGCGGGGTCTGGAGAGTACGCGCCTATCCGCGCTAAGCAAACGCGCGTGAAAGATAAGCTTTGATCGGCCCCACATTCGAGACGCGACTCGCGTCTTCCGCATCTAGGCGCATCTACACCTCGACACTTCTCTTCATGCAATCTCATTTGCCCGTGGGAAACTACACGAATTTAATATTGGAATAACAAGTTCTACGAGATCGTCCCCGCCCGTCTTCTAGAAGGGATTAGGAAATAACGGATCAGGGGTCGTCACCCGTTCTATCTCGTCTATGATCGCAGACATCTTGTCCAGAAGCGTCTCCTGGGACGTCGTCAGGCCATTCTCGACGCGGTCCGCCTCGAGAGTCTGGGCCTGGACCTGGATATTGCCGCTCCATAGCTGCAAGTACTGGTCGAACTTGTTGCTGACTTCAGCCGTGTAGTACCTCATAAATGTGCGGAACATGGGCCCCAGCCCCAGGACCACATATGGATTCGCGTCGTCCGCCCACGCCTCCTCGAGCTCCGCTTCCACCCGCTCGAACGTGGTCGCCACCCGTTCCGCTTGCGTGTGGTAAATGTTGTTGACTTCCGTCACGCCCATGTACTTGATGGCGAGGATGGTGTCCTTCAGGTTCTTGATCACCCGGCTCACTTCGTCCTCGGACTGCACCCACCCTTGCATCGTGTCTACGGCATTGATCGCGGTGCCGCGCGAGAAGGCCCTGGCTTTGGCCAGATTGATCTCTTGCTCTGTGCGCACCATCTCCCCGCTGTAATTATTCAAGTCAACCTGTTAGTACAGATTTCACATTCGTATTACGATAGGCACAAAGGAAACCGGAAGAGAACAACTCACCCTGTGCCGGCAGCGGTGTTGGGCCACGCTTGCCCGATCACGTTCCATGGCTTGTCGCCCAGATCGCTGTTTGTCCAAGCCGTTGCGCTCTCCCAGTACTTCTTAATGTACTGGCACCGCGTCATGGTTGGATCGGGCGAGGTCTGCTTCGTGAGATAATCCTTGTCAAACTGCTGGATGATCTGGCGCTCGAGGATGTGCTCAGCGATATAATTATGACCAGCCGTCTCGGTGTTGTCGTCGACCAAATTGAAGTTGTTGCAGTCACCCCAATTCTCGTTGTCGTACAGTGTGCCCGTCTCCGGGTATGCTGCTGTTTTGTACTTCATGACGGCATCTCCTTTGCAGATGTCGTAGTACTCCGTTCCACCACGGGCTACCAGCGCGTGGTAGACCTCTAGGATGCTACTATCGAAGGTCCCGTTTCCGAGAATTCCCTCGATCGCTTCGTGAAGATGTTCATAGCTTTGGCTGCCTCCACTGGCGGTGGCATCGAGATCCCTGTCGTCAAAGTCGACACTCCTCCGCTGGACCAGGCTCACGAAATCCACCCCAGTGGCTTTTTCAATTCCCGAGAGATCGACCTGGCGTGGATCTAGGTCCCTCTTCCTCATGAGGTCCTGGTCGTTGAATTGGTCATTATCATATCCCGTGATAGCATTGCAGTCCCCGCTTGTGGTAGAATCCGAAGCGAGCGTTGGGCACAATTTGCCTTTTGCCGGAATGCTAAAAAACGGGCCATAAGTCGCTGACCGCTTGGAAAGAAGAGCAACTGAGCTATTCGAATCAGCCTGCTCATACCGAGTTTGGCGTCTTTTGCTGGGCAGAGAAAGCAGCACGTCTCCCTCAATCTCATACCCCACGAGCTCGGATCGCTTCGTGGTCTCGGTGGAATCAACGCCTACACAGACGTAATCGTCCGTCCCATCTCCGGGGATAATATTGCTGCTCAGGGAAAAGAAGTCGAACGAGTTGGGATTCCAGCCAAAGGCGTCTGGTGCTGTGGCGCGTGCGGTCATGACAGCGCCCGCATCAATGCCATACTTGAACGGACATGTATCAGCGTCCGTCCCCGCCAGATTCGCCTGCGCCCGTGCGCGAACCCAGCCGTCCACCACCAGTTCGGCCGTGCACTTCCCGATCTTCCAGGTGTCTTCGAACGTGATACCGAAGCTCAACGTGGGACGCAAGTGTGCGGTAACGGAGCCCTTGGCGGTGACACTGAGGTTGAACGTAGGCTGCTCCAGACCCTTAAGGTTGAAGTCGCGCGATGGGCTGGCCAGGGATGTCGGGTCCCAGTCGCTGTTCTCATCCGGATACGTCTGCTGGAAGTCCCAGGAGGCAATGTCAACATTGGTCTCGAAATGTCCCGCCAGCGAGACGTCCGCTGACGCCTGCGCATTGAGAATGAATTTGGGCCCGACGGTCATCAACTTCGGGATGGTGAACGAGGCACCTGGGAATGGCAGGGTGGCGATGGAGAACTCGCCACTGTCAAAAGAAGCCTTGGCGAGGGCGTCGATGGAGAAGACTGCGTTGACCTCTCCCATGGTCTTGAGGTACAGGTACGAATTGGACAAGTCCAAATTCTCTGCGAGATTGAAGATCAGCGTCATACCAAATGACGACGATACCTTGATGTTCGCGACGGCCTTGGCATTGAGGCTGGTGGACAGCGTAGTGTATTCGTTGGGTTTGCAGGTCCAATCATCTTTGATGATGATGGCTGTGACGCTGTCTGAATAGTCGTGGGTGAACTTGGGCTGGATGTTGAGGTTGAGGAGTCCTTTCAGCCAGGCGATGACATCGTCTCCGAACCAACGCTCACGCAGCTCACGCTCACTCAAGTCGCTCAGGTGCGCGTCGTTTTGGTATTCCTCTTCCAGCCATCGCCTACGACTGCCGCCCACGTCTGCCAGCGAACGCTTCGCCTTCCGCTTGGAAGCTGCTTTATCAACGATGGCGTCCCAGTAGCCGTCCTCGTTCGAATAGTCGACGCGCACTTGCGTATCTCCCAGATCTCGTGGGACGCGCATCCAGTTATAATCGAAAGTCAAATCATAAACAACTGGGGATCTGCCTTCCAGTCGTCGGTGCAAATGATTGAGGTGGCTCGGCAGCGTCTGGTTCTCTGCTGGCATCATGGACTTGGC